AGTACTCCCCCGTTGATAGAAATTAACACGTAATTAAATAAGACCCCACGGTTTGATGATTGATATGTGTGTGGGCTGTCTTTCATTTTGACATACAGAAAAATGTTATAATAAACATACATACATGTATGTTAAATGGATATATCCGCCTTCTTTCATTTATCTTTCCATTCCCACAACAATATACATAAAGAAATTGTATATTTTGGACATAGTTCGAATGGTGATTAATCATGATTAATACATTTTTAAGCTGTGATTAATCCGATTAAAATTTGTAATCGTTTGACAGCCCTAGTATCTATATATTTATACAACTGCCAGTTGAAGAGCAGAAATACCTCTGGGTCAGTTTGAATCTTACCCTTTTGCCTGTCGAGGTTTCTTTGAAACTGAATCCTCTCTTCCAGTATTTCAAATATTTTCACTGTCCCGTCTTCACAACCAACCTGGATTAGAAAACATTAAGTCAATTTATTATCGACTTCGAGCAAGGTCACCACGCTGGGCGGAAGAACGTTAGCATCAGGAGTAGAGTAGATGAAATATCCACAAGGTGCTGACTGACCGCGAGCAGTGTTCCCTGGCTGTTGCTGCTGATGCTCCAGATTGGTCCTCCATAGGCCTCCACTGTGTACCTGGGTCTCAGGTTCTCCAGGTCATACTCTGTGATCTCTCCATTCAGCCCGGCACTGAACAGGCGCTGGCCCAGCCAACACAGAGCCTCCGCAGCCCGGCCGTCCTGCCCTGGGATGACCTGTGGATCAACATCAAAACATGTTGAAAGTGCATGGAAAGAAAAGTGGAACTGAAGATGAAGCCCTAAGGGTTCGGAGCTTTCTTTAAAACACCACCGGCTGCCTCATTTCATTCATTCAAGACAGTTTGAATGTTAGTGCTGTTCAGTTGTTGTTTCCAGACAGAGTGGGTCCTGTAGGAAAGTCCTTTTAAATTGTCTATTGTTGTTACTATATAGTTGTTATTGTTTTATTCTTGTTTATTTTTACCTTTTATTTGTGTTTTACTTATTTTATTTGAATATTGTAATACCTGAACACACTCCTGCTACTGTAACTAAATAATTTCCCAATTTGGGATCAAATAAAGTACCTATCTCTCTATCTTTATGGTTTGTGAGCACTGAGCAGAGTTGTGTTTTTTTGTATTTTATTTATTTCTCTGGACAAAACATTGGGCTGGAGGGGAAAGCTGTATTTTAGTGCAGGTTACCTTCTCTTGGAAGTAGTTGTCCGCGAAGTTGAAGATCTCCAGAGCTCCATCAGCCCGGGCCACAGCCAGCCGCTCCGTGCGGGGGTTAAACGCCATGGCTCGGATAGCAGTGGGCATGTAGTCGAAGAAGCGAACACGGTGCACCTTGAACGCAGCCATTTTACTTTGAGGAAAAACGCAAGAGGAAGACTGTTACAGCTAGGCACGCGACAGCAAAACAAAACCGTAGAGCTGTCCGTTACAACACACACACACCTCACAGGGAGAAACACTGTCAGTAAAAAACAAATAAAGCTCCGTTTAACAGTCATAACTCATAATAACATCATAATAGTATAACAATTACCTGCAGTTTATCCTCACAGTGTCTACACTTTCTGATCTGTGAACCCCACGCTGGAAAACACCCGCAGCCACGTTGTGGACCTATGAACCGGAAACGAATTTGACAAACACACTGCACAAACCGGAACGACGTCATCACACTGACAGCAGGAAACCGGTGGCGGGAAATACTAGCAGACTATGATGCACATACTGTAAACGTTTCTGTATAAACGGTATAAACACAGCGTTCTGAATGCTATTGTTGGTTTTTGTTCTCGTATAGTTACTGCTGTGTTGGGCACTTTTAATGCCTCGGTAACGTGTCGGTCTGTTTCATCCTGTTCGTGTTGCAGCACGGTGTCCGCTCTCTAACAGCACGATGGTTCAAATAGTCATAAGGTAAGATATGCATGTGTTCAGCCTAAAGGTTTATGTATACCGCCTGGAGGAGTCCCTGGGTGGAGGAAGTACTCAGGTAGTGTAGAACCAGAGTGTAGGAATACAAATAAAAGTCCTACACTGTTACTCAAGTAAAAGTACAAAAGTTTTATCATCAAAATTGAGTAAAAGTAGTCCTTGTGCAGATTTCAGAATAATATATATATGATATGTTTTATATAGGGCCGGGACTCGATTAAAAAAATTAATCTAATTAATTAGAGGTTTTGTAATTAATTAATCGAAATTAATCGCATTTTTAATCACATATAAATATTTGACCTGAGAACAGTGAGAAGATGTCAATAAAGTGTGCCGTCACACAGAGGTAATTTGAATTGCTTACCGAGGTCCAATGATCCCCAGTCAGGGCAACACATTCGGCTTTCTCCAATAAATTCTCTTTATCTTCCTTTTCATTGTCATAAAGCTGCTGGATTCTTTTTGTCACTGTCTTTCTGCATGGCAGCTCATATGTTGTGTCAGACGATGCAATATGTAGTACCTTTTGCAGCCCCTTATCTTCTACCACTCCAAGTGGTCTACAGTCGAGTGCAATCCAGTGAGCTGGTTATTTTTTCAGACGTGGACTTAGTTATCCTGGCCCTGAAACCAGTCATCTGGTTGAGTGTGGGTTGGGTGTGGGTCATACTTGTCAACCCTCCCGATTTTCGCGGGAGACTCCCGATTTCATTGCCCTCTCCCGGTTTCCTCCCGGGGTG